TAACTTTAAAGTTTCTTTTTTTCTCTCAGTCTGATAAACTTTTAGAAGCTCAAAGTTTGGGAGGATACCTGATCACTTTATTTTCTCTCTTCTGTATCCTCCTGCTCCTCCCCTTCCTCCTCCAGTAACTCATCAGTTATAGTTTCTAACCCTACTAGGATCAAAATTAAGGTTCCAGAAAGTTTTTCTTTCCCCTCAGTAATTTAGATTGGTTTGTGGCAAATGCATGGTGCTATCTTTTGCTTTTCAAATGTGCCAAAAAAAACTTTCTTTAGCTGTGTAGGAAGGAATCAAATTATTGGTTGACAGTCCTGGCTCTGGGCTAAGAGAATAAAGACCCATTTTAATTGCTTTATTGAGGGGCTTGCCAGAGTTTTGTAGGGAAAGCAAAGCATTAAATTAAGCAATTGAGTAACATTATGAGGACACAGCAGTGGCAGACAAGCACGCCAGAATTCTTATTGTACTTTAAAAACTGAATGCTGGCAGCAAAAATTCCTTTGAGTCATTTTTCTCTAAATTCAGATTCAGGAAGTGCACTCTTAAAATAAGTTCATTTTTGGAGTTCCATCTTAACTATAGCTTCAGGCCAGAAGACAGACTTCTCCAAGTAGAATTGCCCTGCACAGGATCACATTTTAGCAAAACCTGTGTTTACATATGTGTGTGCATGTGTGTGTGTGTATGTGTATGTGTATGTGCGTTGATTTTTGCTGACAGAAACAAACTTCAATCATTAGGAGCAAGAACTGAAAAGATTAGCTTTTAATTAAAAAAAGATTAAATATGGAACTTTAACTGTCAAAAAAGCATTTTATTTCAAGCAAATTTTATAGGCAAAATTTCTAGGCAACAATGAAGTTGTATTTTACATGCTGACATAAAACATTCTTGTAAATAAAATAGGCTTTCCTCTCTTGAAAGCCAAAACATTAAAATTAAGAACCAAAACAATAACAAAAATATAAAATAAGGAATAAACATGAATTAATGAATAGATCATAGCGTTAAACAGAATGTATTTGTCTTAAATCAGATTTTAATATATTCCATATATTCATAATGAAAAATTAAGAAGTCATTAATAATTTATAAATAGACTTGTTGCAGGTTTCATTTGAATTGCTACCTTTTGATTATTTTCAAGGTAGTATCAATGTTCAAAAATCATTTCAGAGAAACAAATTCAGAGAAACAAATTTTAAATTCATACTGTGTAAACCTGTTGCTTCTGAATGCACAGCACTGTGATCAGTGCTAAAGGAGTACAAAATAAAGCTAAAGACAGAGTTTCCTTCAGAAGCTTATAATTTCACTAAGGAGACAAAACAGACGCAGTAAAGAGTGTTTCAGTAACTAGGATGCCTGTGTACAGTAAGAGTAATTGCAATTTAGAGGTCACAGCGACCTCATGGTCCAGGTGGAGGGAAGTTGAATTTTGAGCAATGTTGGATTAGAATGTGTGCAAGAGAATGGTGATGATGGAGGGAGGCTGTGGGAAGGGACCAGTGAATGTAAACCTCAGTGGATGGTTACAACCATAATGGGTGGAGAAGAGCAAAGAGATTAGCTTTTCTCATGCTGAGGGCCCAGCTTGGAGAAAATGTCATGTGCGGGGTGCTATTGCTATACCACAAAGCGGAGAAACATGGGCAGACAGAAAAGGACAGTATGAGTAACCCTGAGAACAGAAAGGAGTTCTTGTGCTTTAGAAAAGAGGTATGAAATTGCATCTTAACATTTTAGCAATGGTCCTTTGGGACTCAAGAGAAAAAGGAGGAAAGAGTAGGTTTGGAAAAGAGAATCTGATTTTAGAACTAGAGTAAGAGAAGTTGTCCTGGAAATCCCTGCCTGTCTCCTCTGCTTTTGTTGTTGTTGTTGTTTTCTGCGACAAAGTCTTATTCTGTCACCTAGGCTATTGTGCAGTGGCACAATCTTGGTTCACTGCAGCCTCGACCTCTCAGGCTCAAGTGATCCTCCCACCTCAGCCTCCTGAGTGGCTGAGACTACAGGCATGCACCACCACCCTTGGGTAATTTTTAAACTTTTTGTAGTGATGAGGTCTCACTATATTGCCCAGGCTGATCTCAATCTCCTGGGCTCAAGGGATTCTCCAACCGTGCCTCCCAAAGTGCTGAGATTACAGGTGTGAGCCACCATGCCTGTTCTCTGCTTCTTAATGGTAACCTCACCCTAGCACATCAGCTAATTCATCTTTAAATGATGTTAACTACTGACTAGTTATTATCTTCACTGGGGGAAGCTGAATTTAAATGATTATACCAAATCTGTGTGTGTGGTTTTTGTTGTTGTTGTTGTTGTTTTTTACATTTTTTGGTGCATTCGGTATTCAATGAGCAGTAGTGATATGCCAGTTATGTGTTAATTCATCTATAACAGTGGATTTTGAGGAAATGAATAGGTCAATAAGGAAGATATTCTCCAAAACTCTCAAAATTTAAAGGTTGCAGTAGGATGCTACTTCAGCTAATTTTAAGCTAGCCCTCTTGTGTTCTTATAGTTGTTTCTCTCTCTCTTTCACACACACATAGTCATTTTCTTATTCTGTTTTGTAACAATTTCCCCTTATGCTGACTTTGAAAACTTATCATCTTAAAAAATCTTATTGCGTGTGTTCCTGTAAGCAGCTACCTCAAACACATTTTGAGCAAGGCTGAAAATAAATAAATCCAAAGTAAAAAAAGAAAAAAAAAAAGCACTCCAAATCTTGCCAACCTGATGAATCAAATGTTTTTTGATCATATTTTCTTTAACCTTTATCTGCATGAATACATAATTTACACATATTTATAGTCAAGGTGTTTGGATAAAAGAACAAAAAATGATTTATCCTCTTTCAAAGAAGAGGGCTACAAAAGGACTGAAAAATACTTTGGGAGGCCCCAGGTCCAGGATCCCTGGTGGTAGACTCCTGAGTGGAGCGTAGCATCTGCCAGGCAGCTTGAGAACACGCCTATATTTAGCCAAGGTGGGTTATGTGATAAGAGGGAGGAGGCCTGGCCACATGCTCTCTGACTCATCCTCTCAAGCACACGTGTCAGTTTTTCCTACAGTTGGGACAACCTCCTTCAGAAGACAGAGGACAGAGACTGACTATAACTTTCCTGGGCTGCAATGCTCACCTTCTACAGACCAAAGTATAGAAACTAAAAAGCACTGGGAGCCACTGAGCCTTCAGTGAGCCCCACTGGTGATAACATTGTTATTACTTGCTTTGGGCACCCTCACCCCGCCACACATGTGCCTTTTCTCTGGTTTGGAACTGGAGCTTGTGCTTCTGTGCAGTGTCTAATTCCTCCCCAGACTCCCTAGCAGCTTGCTGGGTCAATAAGGGCATGTTAAAATGAAACTGCTTTAACAGCTACTTCATTTCCCTGAACTTTCTGTTCAAAGCTGGCATGTGTAATCCTGTGATACACAGGACTTTAGATTAGAGCTGGGCCAACATAATTTTTAGGATCCTTTTTGAGGGGAGATTGGCAAGAGATGAAGAATAATGCAGCATAATTTTGAGCATGAATTTTAATCATTTATCTACAATGACTAGCTTTGTGACCACAGGCAATCTAGCATCCCAGGACCTCAGTTTCCTCATCTTTGAGTATGTCTGTGTTCTCCTCAAGGCTGTGATTATCACCAGGGTGGGAAGCGTGAATGGCACAGTGCTTGACCTAAGCAGTGCATGGCTGATAGCCATTTGCTGACGGCTAAGAGATGGAAAATGACCTGGTTGTAGCGACGTCACAATGTAGAGACTCTTCTTTCTAATATGGATAAAGCTTCCCCTGTATCTGCCTTCCTCCTAGTAACACTGACTAAAATGTAATGCTGACTACCTAGATCACAAAGAAGAATTTTCTACAGAAGTCACAAGGCCATTGTTTACATGCCACGTGTGCTAAGTCTCAATCTTGACATTCCCCAATCCAACTTCCTGGCAAATATTGTTTGACTCAGGGAACTGAGTTAACAGATATTGAAATACGGCTATTGAGTACTTTCACTTATCAGTGGGCCAAGAAAAAAAAAAAATGCCAGGAACATAATTATATTTGAATCAGATTAAATATCTATATGCTTTGATCCACATCTGGTGATACAGGAATTTAACTTTTTGAAGGACTGGTTCCTGAAGGTCCACTCGGCAGCTTTAGAACTGCATTACTTTGAGAAAGTGTTGTAACTTCTGAGCGCCCTCGCCAGCTTGTTAATTTGAACCATAATGCCAGCCTCCTCCTTTCCAGGGCTCATATGGAGTTCATCTATATGTATGCAGGCTCTTTGTAAATAGTGAATGTCTACAAATAGAAGTGATTATTATTATGCTTTTTATACCTCCTGTAGGTGTTTGCTGGTATGGACTGATTGACTTTTTCCAACATTATTATTCCTATGTAACTGATCTCCTGAAATGTCTACCATCTCCATCTATAAAAGACATTAAATTTTAGGGAGTAAAGTCACTTCTTCTCTTGCTATCCTGGTTATCATTACTCATGATTAGGCAGAATTCTGCTGGCTGAGATATGATTCCAGGGAGGCCTAGAAGAGTCCTTCTGTGTGCTTCTTTCCCAAATATATTCCTGACAAACTTGCTAATAATGAAAAGCTCCAAAATTGGGAATTCACTTCATTGTCACTATTCTAATGGAATTACACTTTAAGCTCTACCATTTATATATACGTTATGATGAACTGAGTTCATCTAATCATTTTAACAGGTTTTCAACAGAGAGAAGGAAATTGAACATGAGCTAATGGTGGGGACCAAAGTCTCAGAGAATGAGAACTCTGCAACTGCTGATATGAGAATTTTTTCTCTGTGTAGTTGGTGAAATATTTGAATGATATCCAATGATTAATGTTTCTTTAATTCTCTAGGTGACCAAAAACCACACGGAATTATCTAGCAATAAATTCTCTCTATATAAGAACCAAAGCACTTGGGGTTGAGGAAAGAGAAGAGAAATAGGTCTTACCCAGCAGGTCTGGTGTCTTCAATGGCTCTATCCACTGGGATCAGATCGCTAAGGTAGACATTGAAGTTCCCTTCTTTCCATCTTCTTTCTGCCTCCTTCTCCTTTCCATGGGGGACAACTACAGGACGCCCAAACTGCCCTGGAGCTTTGGGGTCCCTTGGAGAAAGCGTCACATCAATTCTTAACACCTGGTGCATTCCACTGTCTTCAGGTAAAAGGGCTTTTGTATGACTCTGGTTGTATTCTGTAAAGGGGGCTTTGGCAGTTATGTTGATTTTTGCTGGCTTTAGCCCTCCAGCTAAAGCATGGTTAGTTTGGGACAGTGGTACTCTATGTGGAGCAAGTGAAGAGAAAGACATTTCACTTCTATTCCTGGAAATGTGTTTACCTTGGCTTTTACCCAATACTTTAGGAAATACAGTTTTGGTTTTAGAATTGGAGACCTCCTTGGGGTCTGCCTTTTGCTCTTCTTCTTTGGTTATAATCACAACATGGCTTTCAGAGAAATTGAGTTTCTTCCCATGAGCCCCTCTAGCTCCATCATCCTTTGACAGACTTCCCAAATGTGTCTCATTAATAAATTGCTTCCTTAAGCGATTTGAATTGACAATGAACTTAAGAAAAGGAAGACTCGTATTGGCCTTGTGTTTATTTGCATTGACTTCTTTGCTCTGAGACTTAGTTTTGTTTAAGGCCATGACTTCCCCAGACTTCGGCTCTGCTGTGCTGGCAGGGTGTGCCCTCTCTTTTGCTACTGCCTGTGATCGCTTCTTTGGTCTGTCAGTACTAAGACTGATGGTCACATTCAAGTCCCTTTCAGCTGCTAGTTTTGATATGTCACTGCTGGGACTATGACTCTTCAGGGGCTCCTGTTTTAAACTGACACGTCCCATGTGTGCTGATATTTTGACTAATGGAGTTTCTTTTGCTGCTATGAATGAGGTTTTTGGAGCCCCCTGAGCTGTCATTTGCTTTGGTGTCCCCTGGTGAGAGGAGGCTTCAGGGTTGGTGCCTCTCCCTTCTGTCTTCTGCTTGTTAGGAGGCACAGGGAGGGTCTGCAGATGTGCAGGATGCCACAACGGTACAACCTTGCCCCTTCCCAGGGCATTCTGCATTTTTCTTTCCCTCTGGGTTTGGTCCAAGTCCACCTCAACCTTGAGCACACTCTCCTCAGTTTTTCTAAAGTTCTCTTTGCCCCGTGCCCCTTTCCCATGTCCCCTTAGGGGAGGTTTCATCTCTTTTAAGCTGCTGTAAAAAATTTTCACTTGGTCTGGCTGAACTCTGAATCCTATCCGCTCCCTCCTCACAATGTCTTCCTTGATGACCCGAGTGTTGATCTCATTGAATGAGAGGCGGAGAGCTGCCATGTCAAAGAGCAGCCAGATGACAGAAGCTACAAAGATAAATGCCAAGACTCGCCCACTTCCTCGGAAAAACTTTCGGATCCTGTTCATGGTACAAAGCTTTCCCTAGCAGCCTGCCCTCCCTTAGCCTGCTTACCTTGAGTGGAGAGGGAGTTGAAGTAGCAGCAGCAGCAGCAGCAGCAGCAGCAGCAGAGTTGCCAGAAAGTGACCCCCTCCCCTGAACACAGCAGGAAGCAGCAGTCCAAGGGGAAAGCTCAGCTCCTACCGCTTGTCAGTCTCTGCCTGCGTGGCATTTCATAGCAGAGCATCTGTGCCTGCTTGGTTGGCCCTAGCTAAGTTCTGGTAAACACTGGCCTTAGGTTACTCCAGGAAAAGTTGATTCCAGCCACCGAACAGTTCAACGTATTACTTGTCTTGTCTCCGGGAGCCCATGTCCACCTTCCTACAAGCCCAAGAAAAGGTGGGGGCCAGACTGAGGCTGCTGTTTCTCTCCTCCCCGTTCTCCGTCTGCACGCTGTAACTCAACACCACTTCTCATAAGGAAAACATTTCATGCCATTACCCAGAAAACTTCATTCAGCTCTCACCTTCTGTGTTATGTGAGAGCGTGTGTGTTTTAAGGGCAATTAAAGAGAAAAAAAAGCTATCTAACTTGGAGGGCATGTGTTCCTGGTTTGTAACCCCACCTACCCCACTCCTGCTCTTTAACCCTGTTGTACCCAGGTGCCAATGCTCTGCCTGAGGAATTTATCACTGAAGTTAATATTTCAGCTTTAAGACACAACAGCTTAAAGAAGGGGCCCAGTATATTCTCACTTCCAGAGATGCATATGTTTAGTGATTTAGACCATTCCTTCAGGGGGTTTCAATGTATTTCTTTATAAGCCAACTATTGTTTTTTCACTAATCCATCTGTTTTTATTATTCCATTCAATTAAGAATAAACTTAATTTGTCATATTGCTATAAAAGTTTCTGAACACTTTGTTATGGTCTGAATGTTTATGTCCACCCCAAATTCATACGTTGAAACCTAGTCATAAATGTGATAGGGCTTCTGAAGATGATGTGATTATAAGGATAGAGTCCTCATGAATGGGATCAGCACCCTTACAAAAGAGGCCCTATGGCCTTGCCATCCCACAATGTGAGGACATAATGAGAAGGTGCCATCTATGAACCAGGAAATGGGCCTTCACTACTCAACAAATCTGCTGGTGGCTTGATTTCTGACTGCCCAGTCTCCAGAATGTGAGAAATGAATTTCTGTTGTTTATGAGTCACTTAATGTGTATTATTTTTCTAGAGTAGCCTGAACAGATTAAGACACACTTACTCTCAGTTTCAGTACTTATCTCGTCATGAACCAGCTAGAAACAGTTTGAGCCACACCAGGACTTGGACTAGATTTTGAGTGATGCTGGTTGACTGGTAGGGTAGTGGCTGCCCCACAGGCTTTTCATTAGAACCACTTGAAAGAAGATTCCCCCAAACTAAGATCAATTGATGAGAGAGGAGGCAGAGATGATAGTTGGGTTGATTTTTTTTTATATATATATATGTGTGTGTGTGTATATATATATGTATGTGTGTGTGTGTGTGTGTGTGTGTGTATATATATATATATTTTTTTTTTTTTTACAGAGCTTCCCAGGTCTTTCAAATGTGCAGCTAAAGTTGAGAAACACTGGTCTAGGAAAAAAGTCTCTTTTTTTTTTTTTTTTTTTTGGATTTTTGAATATTGCTCATGAGACATTCAATTTTAGGTGTCTACTTGACTGGGCTAAGGAATACCCAGAGAACCAGTAAAGCATTATTTTTAGGTATATCTGTGAGGGTGTTTCCAGAAGAGATTGGCATTTGACTCAGTGCACTGAGCAGAGAGGAGATGCCCTCACCCAATGTGGACAGGCACCACTAATTGGTTGAGGGCCCAGATAGAATAAAAGGCAGGGGAAAGGTGGGTTCTTTCTCTCTTAGTGAGCTGGGACATCTTTCTTCTTCCACTTTTGGACAAGAACTGCCCCCACAACTCCTACATCCTCCACCAGGTTCTCAGGCCTTTGGCTTCAGACTGAGAGTGATGTTATTGGCTTCCTTGGTTCATAGGCCTTTGAACTCGGAATCTGCCATGTTACTGGCTTTCTTGGTTCTCCAGCTTGCAGGTGGCCTGGTCTGAGGTTTCTCAGCCTCCATAACCATGTGAGTCAATTCCTCTAATAAGCTCCTGCTCATTTATCCATCTCTATGAATCCTATTGGTTCTGTTTCTCCAAAAAAATCCTGGCCAGTACAGTCTACAACTTGTGTAACATTCCTTCCCTGACAAATAAAGTGCAGTCTAATAAAAACTGTGCATTTCCATAACAACCAAATCAGCATGTACATTTTGACATTGCCAAATAGAGTCCGTTTGACTCTATGGACATTGTCCATAGAGTTTGAGAAGCACTGCTCAGGACCACTGTCCATCTCTCTGAGGAACTCTGAGTGATTTGTAGACAATACTGCCATTCATTACTCTAGTGTGGGGCGGGTCTAGTTTCCATGCTTTGAGGTAAACTTAGGTTTCCAATGACTTGAGAGAGGAAGGAGAGACTCCAAATTCTTTATACATATGCATTGCTTTCTACAGCTTTTGGCTTTTGCCCCATGGGAAGGAATGCAGATAAATGCAGCTACCATAACATGTTTGTTGAGTGTCTCTTTTCTGTTCAGTGCCTGCTCACTTCAACTTGGAATATCCACATGGATGGCAGCATCAATGGCTCAACTATTTCCTGTGTGCATCCCTGTCTCAATTTGTCCATCCTTCCAATATATATTGCTTATATTCCACAGCTCAGGCCATGTGTTGGGTGTTGAGGGACACTAAGTAAAAGGATATAGTTCTTGTGCTTGAGGACCTCACAGTTTATTGATTGACACAGACAAGTAGGAACATGTTATATGTTACAATATGCAATAAGTAATTTGGGAGAAATAATATCCTGGATTCTATGGGACAGAGCTTAGTTTTGGGAGGCAGGGATGATTTTGAATAAGCTATTCTTAGACTTGAAAAATGAATAAGAGAATAGTTATCTTTGCCCATATTGTAGTCTGAGAAAAGAAATATTAGATGGTGAAAGGCACATAAATTAGCAAAAGCATAGATATGAAGAGAGAGCATAGTACCTTAGGAGAATCACAAGTTTTTGAGATCTAGCATGACTGGAAACACAGGCCTTAGTGTTTTTCTACATACATGTATGTGCATGTGTGTATGTATATACGTATGTGTATTTATTTTATATATATATAACTATATATATACCTTAAAACTCCCCTCAGTAGAATGCCACCAGCAAAAAACAGCACACATCTTTAGCATCCATTATCTAAAATAAAGTGAGAATTTTTTTAGCATCATGGATAAATGGTTTGCATCGCAATATTGTTTTAAGCGTTTTATATATACATCTCAATCACTTTGGTAAGTTCTTTCCATTGACTATCTCACTCAATCCTCACAAGAATCTAATGGGAAAGGGAAAATTACAATATGCATTTTGTAGTCAGTAAATGAAACCTTAGAGAGGTAAAGCAACTTCCAGTAGAAATTGGAGGAGTTGGGTCTTGAATACACGACTGTAGTCCCTGTGCTTCAATATCACACAGTACTGCTTCTCTAGCTGTGTGACCTTGCAGGATAGTTAATTTTATGTGGTTGCTGAGCAATAAAAAAATATTCTGCTTTGCAGGTTAATGTGAGAATATTTACAAATGGTTTAAGTTATCGTTACATTTGAAGGTACTCTGTAAATGTTAGCCACTGCCATTCCTATTGTTGCTAATACTTTGCTGTAATAGGAGTGTTGGGTGCATGTAGGAGGCAATGTACCCAGCTCTTCCCAGAAAACAAGTAGAAAACTAGTGACTAACATGATTCTGGCAATGGGGAAGAAACATATCTGAGTATTTTATTTTATTCTTGCCATTCTTATTTCCTCTAATTATAGATTTAACGAGACCATTGTTCACTGAGAACTCCTTACACGCCCCAAACATGAAGTAGGTGACATTGTCTCTGCCCCTAACAACCTTAAAACTCCCCTCAGTAGAACGCCACCAGCAAAAAACAGAGCACACATCTTTAGCATCCACATTCCAGAATAAAGTGAGAATTTTTTTTAGCATCATGGAAAAATGGTTTGCATTATAATATTGTTTTAAACATGAAAATAGAATGCTTTAAAATTATTTTACTCTGCGTGATTCAATCTTGTCCAGCCACCATCCCACCCCAAATGGCAGTTGGAATTACTCAAATGTCTTTTAGGAAAGTCAACACTTGTTACATTCTATGCCTGATAGTTTAAAACACTCCTTGAAATATATTCTTGTTTCCATATAACTGTTATCAAAGAGTACTGATTTCTTTTTATCCCTCTCTAGTTTGTCCTTACAACCAAAACACAAATTACTTGCAACAGGAGAGCAACATGTTAAGAAAATTAAAAGGGAATCTTGGCTTATCTATTATGGGTAAAGCAACATATTAACTCTGGCTTAGTCTTCAGTCTATCTGACATATAATTCAGAATGAGATGTGAAGAGTAGGTAAGAGAGTAAGTAAACGTTGATTAAATATCCTAGAAATAGAGGAGTAGATTGGTTGTCAGACCTGGTCTCAAGTACTGACTTGGCCACTAATAGCCATATGACCTTGGATGTGTCACACATGGAAAAGCTTGTGTAAGGTTCTCTTCCCAGCCTCTTCTTGGTCTTTTCCCTTGTGAGTTAATGATAATCTGTGATGATGGCAGAAGTTGGTTATAAGCCATACCACTGATTCAACACTATGGGTCTTCAGGGACTCAGTAACAATTTCTATGGCCCCCATAGTGATACAGCTCTCTCCTTTTTCTTCTCTTTTCTGACACACAGGCTGTTTCACATCTCAGATCAATGAATTTTATAGGTAAAAGAAATAAAAAAAGAAAAGGATATTAGGATATTCTACCTTTTCATCAACGCACATATTGCCCAACATATGACCTTTATATATTGGTAAATGATGGTGCTTCTAAAATTTTAGTTGTATTAATTTCCATGTTATCAGCAGGAAACTAAATATGCAAGTTGGTTGGTTATTTGAGGTACCCCACAGTTAGGAAGCCTGGCTTGTCATTCCAAGTGGTAGAATGCAAGTACCTTTGGCTGGTCAAATTTTTCAAGAATCTGCACGTACTTAGTTGGAGATGATATCCATCTGAAAATCTGGAGTTATGAATTATTCTTGGGAGACGTTTGGAGGGGTTATTCCAATTATCAGTCTCACTCCAGGTGGTACTATAAATTTAAAAACAGATTTTAGTTTCTTCTTCTGTAAAACAGGTATAACAGTAGGAGGACTTGCCCTCTACTCTATTTGGTTGTTCTCAGGATAATCATATTAATAGCAACCATTCATTGGGAATTTACTGAGGGCCTGCCACTAGTCACTTGACATTATCTCATTTAATCCTCAACATTTATTTTCACAGACTACATCATAAACTGTTCAGTAAAACTGATCTGCATAAAGTTAGCATGAAAAGTATATTTGTGTAATATTCTCATGGCAAATATCTTTGAATTGTCCT